GCCCAGCTCACTTCACTTGACTTGCAGGTTGCTGGAATAGCATGAAGGCTGTGGTCTGTACCTTAAATTAGACATGGGTCCGTAAGATGGCAGGATCACATACACAGCAGCCCCTAGCGGGTGGTCTGCATAAACCAAACACTGTACCGACCACAGGAAATTTAACAAGAACAAATGCTGAATTCTGCACCCAGGATGGGGCAGCCCTGGATATATGTACAGACTGGGAATGAGAGAGCACAGCACTGCTAATCGGTCAAGGGAAGGGATTGCCCTGCTCCGTTTGGCCCAGTGCAGCCTCACCTTGAGTACTCTGTGTCTAAGAAAGATATAAAACTATAAAAGTGTCCAAAGGAGGGCAACAAAGATGGTGAAGGGTCTAGAGGGCAAGACGTATGAGGAGCAGCTGAGGTCCCTTGTTTTGTTCAGCCTAGAGCAGAGCAGGCTGAGGGGAGGCCTCACGGCAGCCTGCAGCTCCCTCACGGGGGGAGTGAAGGGGCAGGCCCTGATCTGTTCTCTTTAGTGACCAGTGATAGGACCCGAGGGAATACTGAAGGCTATCCGTGTAGCCTTCCAGGTTCAAGAAGCGTTTGGACAGCACTCTCAGGCATATGGTCTGATTTTTGATGGTCTTGTGTGGAGCCTGGAGTTGGATGTGATGATCCTTGTGGGTCCCTTCCAGCTCAGGATGTTCTATGATTCAATTGCTTTGCTATTTCTTTTCTATTAGTTACTTCCCTAGTTTAAATGTTAGTAGTCTGTGTGACGATTCTAAATCCCCCTTTTCCAGTAATATATCAGACCAATCTGCATTTTCTTACCAGGGGCCCCGGAATGTTGTTAGCTCATGGAGTACATAGAGTGAACAGTGCATGAGGAAGAACTGAAAGAAAAGAATGATTCTTTTTTTCTAAGCTTAAAACATTACAAAATTAGTTAAAGGTTTTGGTCAAGTACAGGCTTCCTATTTGATGGTAACTGTATAACACAAGAGATATCCACAAGGACCTAAATAGAAATTACACAGACAACCTCAATTTCTGTATTTTCTGAGAGCTCAAAATTTAAATTCTTATGCTCATCAATGTAGTTTACGCTTTCAGATGAATGTGAAATATTCCTGATATTGATGTCTGACAACCACTTACATGAGTAGGTATTTGCACAGTTCTTAGCATGCCTCTCTTTATGCTTGCACTTAAATAGGAAGTAAAGGTCTGTGTGCAAATACACCTACACTAAATGACTGAAAGTACACACTGATGTGCAGACACAGATTTTGTGGCTTGTCTTTGGCCAGGGTTTTTCATCTGCATTTACTTTAGGACATACCTTGCTCAGGAGATTACTGTGAATATAATTAGGATTTCCTCTGATTTAAGAATAAACAAAATCACAACTTTAATGAAGTATTTCACTTCATGAAGAGAAAAGCTGGAGTTCTTAGGGAAAAAAAAAAAAAAAGCATTTTTGAATGAAACAAAGCCAAAGGAAAAAAAATAAATAAAAAAGTCAGCCTTTCCTTTAATTAAATGAGCCCCAGACCCAAGACTGTTCTGTGATGCAAGCGATCCAGATCTTCCTCTATAAGATTAAAAAGAACTTGAAGTTTGTTCATCTCCTTTGCTATTCTGTAGTCTGTTCTCTTCAACTAGAGCTCTTTCATGCCCTATCAGCTAACTCTTCACTGACCACAGAGATCATGAACAAGATTGTCCCTCCTGTGTCCTGTGTTCTATCACTTGCCAGTGTGTAAGATGTCAGAGTTTCAAGGCCTTATCTTGCCTGATTGACTCAGTCTCACATAGTTAATACTGATGACTGAAACACCGGGGTTTTTGTTTGCCTCCCCCCCCCCCCCCTTTTTTTTTTTTTTTTATCTTGGGACAGTAGATAGTGAGCTTTTTTCCTTTTGTATAGTAAGTTATTGCACAGAATCACACACAGAATCACAGAATTGTAGGGGTTGGAAGGAAGAACTTGATTCCTTGTCTGCTAGATTCTTATACATTTTCAGGGGTTAGTATGTCGTATAATCACCATATGTAGTTCATAGCCAAAGTCTACAGGGCCAGCTGTCCTGAAGTTTTGTTTTTTGTTTTTTTTTTTTTCCTAGGAGAGCTTACCCACTTCTTTCCAACCAAGAGAGAACTGGAGTTGAGTTAAACCATGAGGCAGGTAACTTGTGAGAAACTGAGAGCAAGAGAAGATTCTAGCTTCAGAATATACCAGCAATTTGGAATCCTAGAAAAGCCAGCCTGTAATCCACAGAATCAGTATAGGACTTGACTGCACAGTCTTGACATTGATGGAAGCAGAAGCAGTCATCATTCCTTTGTGGGTGTGTAATGAAGTCGAATATGGTTTGGGAGTAATCCAAAGATATCAAGTTAGTTACTCAATGCTATGTCTGTGTGTTGTGCAGAGGAAGAAAGTGGGTGACATTGGTGGTAGAGTGATGGTTGGACCAGATGATCTGGCAGGTCTCTTCCAATCTTAATGATTCTATGGTCCTTTACACCTGGTGGTAACAATTTTGTATCTGATTTAAGATTTATAGTTACACCATTTGGCTTAATTCCATACAGACTAGTTTAAAACAAAATAGACTCACAGTCAGATACAACAGTTTAATCAAATGAGGAAAATCATGCCTTAAACCAGGCTTCCCCTCCAGGTCAAAAATGGATAGAGTGGGCCTCAGAAAAGTGGTTATTTTGCGGCACCTGTATTTTTGTCTACAGCCTTTCTCAACTCATCCAACCCTCTGCCCTCCCCCAGCTAATCTTGTGCCAGTCACAGCACAGATTACAGATGGACTGCACAACAACCTGACTTGATATAACCAAGGAAGGCTGAGAGGGACAGTTCAGGCTGACTTCACTGAGCTGTGGGTCATTAGCACAAGGCAGTCTGGGATACAGTCTCAGTGCAGCTCTGCAGCAAGCAGACCCTGCAGGACTAGGGAGTTGCACATATCCTTATTTTCCTTTTTTATACTTTAACATTAAAATAAGTAATTGCTGAAATATATAGCGCTTTGTAGCATTCACCTGCTGTAGGTCCATAACCATGGCACAGACAAGCAAGAAATCAAAATGTGATGCTAAAAATCAATATAAGGCAATAGATGCTAAATAAATGTACACACCACACACACAATCTCTTCAAGAAGGGCTTATGCCTTTACATGCCATGAACACCTAATCACTAGCCTTCTTCTCATCTCTAGGTATAATATGGGATACTACTAAGGGCATATTAGTTTTATAAAAGTCTTCTCAGATATAAAGCTTAAACTCTGGCTCCATACCAGCTGCCTGTTATTATTCTGGCTTTGTACCAGGGTCTGGGAGAACAGAAGGAGGAAAACCTTCCAGTTCTATAGCTGCTCAGAGGAGGAGGGCTTGGTTTGGTCCCATTTTACTTTTAACATTAATTGCATGTTTATGTTTTTGGGCAGGAGGCCAAAAAATGAATAACAGCTTTCACCATGAACACGGCTAGGGCCAAGCAGCAACATTTAGGGCCATCTTGTTCTTATTGTTTCTGGCAGTGAAAATCCTCAACCAGTTCAGACCCTCTCTCATCATCCTGGGTGGGTACTGCACAATAACCTTGCACATGTCACAGTGCAGTATGAAACATGGGTATAGATACCCACAGTGTGTGAGACTGTCTAAGAAAATGTAGTGGTTTGCAAACACCGCAGTTTACTCTTGCTGTATTGGTAGTTTTGCTGTCTCTCTCCCCCTTTGCACTTAAGTTGCACCAGCCTAAATTTCTCATTAAGAAAGTGAAGACTTAATATGCTCATTTTTTATTTGAAAATGCTTGTTTTTACTCTTTGCACATTACACTCAAAAAGAAACCAAGTCATTTTAAAAGAAATGTACAGGAAAAGAGAATACATTTTCATTTGCTTGTCTCTCAGCAGAAAAAGGATTTGGTTTCTAAGTAGAGTTGCACATGACAGACAATACAGACTGATACCAGTAATCAGTTCTTTACACTTCAGAGAGAGTCAAGCTTAAGTCCTTCATAGCTTGATGTGACCTCAGCTACAGAAAACAGCACTGATACAAGATAGCCGAAGAAAACGAACCATGAGGAAGGGGTGGTGGGCTTAGGAAGAGAATGATATGATATGGTTATAATTCCTCCTCCCCAGGATTGACCCAAATCTCCCATAGTCTGTTGTGTTTGCTCTCAGGGCTTTGATGTGAACTAGAAGATGCCCTAGCACTACCCTGCTCACGCTGGCTTTACAGTTCATCCAGAGACATCCCATTGCTTACAGGTCAGCTCACCCCAGCTCCCAGGCAGTTCAGGAGGATCCTGTGCCTCCATGTGCATCTTCAAAACAGATTGCAGCAAGACCATTTGCAAAGGACCTGAGTTTACCTTTTTGTGTGACAACCACAACCCCAAAAGCAAACAGGAACAAGCTCGTTCAGAATTGTGTTTTTCCTTCTCAGCATGTTTTGGCTATACTTATTACAAAATAAGTTCTTTTCCTTACTACAACTATTGTAACCAGTTATTCAGCAGTCATCTAGTATATAATTGCCTTCCTTCCACCAACACTTTTCCCCAGGTCCAAAGTCATTAGAGAAACAATTAACTACAAATTTCATTTAGATGACTAAAATAGGAAGAGATGTGTTTATTTGTTTGTACTTGTTACTATAAGAATAATAACAACATTGCTTGTTTGTTTTTGCAGTGACTTAAGGGGAAAAAAACACCAACTTCTTTCAAACATGTAATAAATACCTAATGAAAAATAACAGTACTTACCAGTAAAATGTCAAACAAGTATGAATTCTCCAAATCCTCTATTTCTCTTTCTTAAGCGGTTTCTATTTTTAAAGAACTCTTTATTTTTTTTTTTTAAGTTATTTTATTCTTAAAATAAATTTGGATGAGCTGTTCATAGAAAATGCTGTATTTGATGGCATTTTTTAAAATTTTCTTCTCTGTATCAATGCCCTAGGGATGACTGTTGGGTTTTCAGATGTATATGTAAATGTATCCCAGCCTACAGCTTGAATGTGTGCTATTTGCTCCACCTGTTCTGTGTTTGCAAAGTGTGATTCAATCCCCTCTATCAGATGGCACTGTTTAGATTCCCTCGTCGTCTGGCAAAAACATTGAAAGGTGAAGAAAAAGTAAGTAATTTCAAGATAGCCAAATACCCTTTCTCCTGGTTAGATATGCAGGTAAACTATCACCTGCCTAAAAGGTTTATAGAGTTTCTGAACAACACATCTAAAGAACACAAAGGAAACAGAACAGGGGTTTTGATACTAATGAGATTTCTTTCATCTAAGGGAGAGTGGACAAGGGGAGATTTGTGGGAGATTTGCTTCTACTTCCCTCCTCCTATTCTTTGATATGACTTTCAGTACTTGGCATTAGGAACAACCTCCAAAGGTACACCCCTGCTGCATTGCTGCAATAGCACAGGGAGGGAGATAGCCAGGTTGTCCTGATCAGGCTGTGTGGAGCAGCTCAGCTGAGAGTGCCAAGTAGCACACCCTGCTTGGCACTGTACAGCCACAAGCACAGCTAGCTCCTAGTTGCCGGAGAGTATCTCATCTATCTAATTTATCTATACACTGTGCAGTGTGCATGCACCTTTCATATGTTTCTGCAGCCCCATAGCACAAGAGGTCTACTTTTGAAGCATTACAGTGGCTTGCTCTTACATCCCATGTGGTGTGGGGAGCAAATGACTTACCAATGTCACAATCTGCTTTGTTTTATTTCAGGTCAGGTTCAAGCAATGTGGACAAGCTACAGTTTGTCTCATCAGCACAAGCAAGCAAGGGCTTTGAAGGCTAAAGAAAAGAGTGGATAAACAGTTATTCTTTTTGTCATCTGTTGTAATGATAGACAAAAAATGGCTGTCATCCTCAGCAAGCCCCTTTCCCAGAACCATTCCCTGACTCCAAAGTATCCCATAATAAAAATAACAACAAAAACCCCGGAGTTCATATTCAGTCACCTCATTCCATCATTCTTTTTACCTCAGAAACATTGGAAGAAACAGAAACATTCCTTCGTGAACCCCTCTCTTCTGCAATAGACTGCATGAAAAGCAAGAAAGCAGGGAAATAAAGGGAAAAATTTCCTGCAGGAAGTTGGCACATTGTCTTTAGCAGTGCTACCCACTTCCCTTCCTGGAGCTTGTTTCTTCTGACAGCAATACCGGATGGCTTAGCGACTCTGCAAATGGTGAGACAAATGTACTGTGGAGCAAAAAAATATTTCCTCGTAGCCATGTCAGGTTGTTCTCCTCTGCCTCCCCCGCTGTTAAGAGCTACTGGTGTCTCGCAGCCATCTGGTGCAGGATTCAAGACTTCCTGCTGATAACCCTGGCCAGTCCTGGCATCGCTGTGCACTTGAAACAGGTTTTGAGGTATTTGTACAAAGCTAGGAAAGCAGTGGAAAGGCTAGAGGAAAATGAGTGGGAAGGTGCGAGGTGGAGACAAGACAGGCTGGTGATGCAGGAGGCCTCCACGTGTTTCTCCTTTTTAGAGGATAAAAGACAGGGTTTTGCCAAGCAGCGATTCCTGATGGGATGCAGCTGTGGGAGAATACAGCAGTAGCTGACATGGCTCCTCTTTATTCCCTACTGGGGAATGGATATGCAGACAGATTTACAGAGAAACCCAAGGACTTAAAGCCCTTAGGATGAAAGAAGGTCTGAGAAACCATCTGCCTCAGTTTCTTCCACCAGCTCCTCACCATCTGATGGTACTCCTGAGTGACAGTGGGGAAGCTAAAGAAACACTTGTAGTATGTTTAGGCTACTGCGCTTTAGACTACTTTGTTAATGCACTTTTATTTTTTTTTTCATCCCACAGGCATAGAGGAATGTCTCATACTTAATAAATGATTAAATTGGCTATGTCAGAATATGTAACTGCTCTCAGACGCAGCAGTAGTGGCGCTAACAAAAGTGCAGAACACCCTTCCACAGCCCCAGGCAAATCTGGGAGAGCCACTACCATTCTAGTTCAGACCCAATTTATCCCAGACTGCCTCCTCATTGCTTTGGAAAGCTGTCAGTCACTGGGACAAGTTTAGGATTTCGAATTCTAAAGTTCTTGAGCTCATCTGTGATGTGTCAAAAGCCCACTCATTTCTTACTGTGTTGTTCTTCTGAATTATGGATGAAGGTCATCAGTCATTCCTCAAAAGATGTCAGATTGTAAGTCAGAATTCCACATAACATTAGGAATACTTGAATCAATTAGTAACATTGAATAAAGACAAATATATATGTATATATAATTTGGCTAAACTGTGCCTGAAAAGTAAGTCTGTACTTTGGGCATAGCATACCTGGAACAGCCCTGACTTACACAGGGTCTCAGAGACACCTCTACGAGTTTTAGGCCTCTCCTTTCTACAGGTTTTCTTGTAAGTCTTGAATGACGTTTCTTGTCCTGAATCTTAGAGAAAAATGCAGACTTGGGAATCATGGCTTTTATTTCATAAGAAAACTCATCTTCTGAAATACCTTGTCCTTGCAATTACAGTGTGTGACTTGGGGCAGCCTAACACTAATAGAAAAAGCAAGGACTATTTATCTACTTCATTCCCCTATGCACATCCAGAGTTATAATACTTTGGATATTCTAAATATTTCAATTTATCAAATCAGGTTTTAAAAAGAAAGGCAAAGATCAGCCTGCAGCTGTATAGGTATTTTTAGCATTATTCCAAAAAGGAAGCGTCATAACTTCAATAAGGATTTTACCTGGATAAAGGTCCCGTGAGAAGACTCATTCAGCCTCTGGTTAGCTTGGGGGTAGATGTGTTAAGTTATCATTAGCCAACACGAATATCTCCTTCAGTCATATGTAGACTGTTTTTTTTTTTTTTTTTTTTTTTTTTTTTTTTTCCCCTCAACATTACTAAAGAAGTACAGTTTTCATGCAGAGAGGCTTGATTTTTCCCCAGTGGGAATAATAGGATGTCAAACATTTACTTATTTAGTTATCAGTGTCTGAATTTTGGGAAGGAGTAGTTAGCTCTATGTGAAGGGAGAATAATCTTAGAGATTAAAAATAAAAAATTGTCAACTAGTTTTAAACACCCCTTCAAATATTTCCTGTAATATTTGTAATGTATGTTATGTATGTATGTATGTAATATTTGTAATGTATGGATGTAATAGCACAACCACAGGACTGAAGAGAAGTTTCCCATCTTTTCACACACCATCATGTGAGTGCTTGAAAACAATCAGCTGGAGGTCTTATTAGGAGGTATTTTCCATTTCCCAATGAAACATTGATGAGATTATTTTCTCATATTTTCAAATTTTCTCATGGTTCCAGTCAATTTCCTGTGTCCTTACAGTCTCTGTCCACGTGTGAGGCTTTTTCTTCCTGTATCTTCACACAGAGAGAAAAACTTATTGGCACAAGCCGGTGTAGCCTCACTGAGTCATTATCTGCAGTGTTCTCAGTAGCCAAAGATGTATTCAATATTATACGTATCCTTGCTAAGCACCATCTTAACCACCACCCAACTGAATGCCCTTGGAAGTCAATTAAAGAGTGTCCATTCATTTGAATTCTCTTGAATTCTCTTTCAGTCAGGCTCTAGCAAACCTACAACTTTAGTCCTATTCAGGTAACTGTACACGGACTTCAGGATAACTTCACTTCCTGAATAAAGAACAAAAAATATTTGTCCCACAAGAGCTGAAGTAACAGCAGTTCTGAGAAGTACACAGAAACTTTAATGGCATGGAGATACTAGGGCTGCATAAAGTGACAAAGCCATGCTTAAATGCAGTGCAGCATCTCCTCAGGTCTGAATTATGTTTGTGACTTGAGCAACCCAAGTCTTTCTGCACACCAGCCCCTTTACATAATAAAAGCAACACAAGATAGCTTTTACAGGTACCCTTGCAAAATCTGGAGAGGGAGACAATAGATAGAAATCCACATTTTGCCTTTCTTTGATGCCATTCTATCCATTTGCATATTCCTTTTATAGCTCAGTTAGATGGTTCTAGGAAAACCACGACAATAATGTGCCTTTCTTTCTACCTTCAACTCATCACATGCCTGGTGGTCAAGGCCAGAGGATCCAAAACCAGCTATGGAATGGATCCACGTACAAACTTCACATAGATTTAGATATATGCAGGAGAGCTGATTTTGCTTGGTCCAGGTATCTACCATAGACTTGTATTAATAGATCAGTCAGTAGTACAGATCATTGGTAAAGATATTGAAGAGAAGTGGCCCCAATACTGAGCCCTGGGGGACACCACTTGTGACTGGTCTCCAACTGGATTTAACTCCATTCACCACAATTCTTTGATTCTGGCCACCCAGACAGCATTTTCACCCAGCAAAGCATACACCTGCCCAAGGCATAAGCATCCTTGATAGTTTTACGCTAGAAAAGTAGTATGAAGAATCAGCTCAATAGAGAGGAAAGCAAGACATTCTTTTTCTTAAATGAAAGTTTATTTTGTTGCTTCCTACAGCTAATGCATAGGGAGTAGCTACCCTATCATAGGATGTGAAAGTAAATACAGAGAAACATTTATCTGTATGTGAGATCTGCAGATCATTAAACAGAGCCTTTTTTTTTTTTTTTTTTTTTGTGAGGGTACATTTCTCAGTAGTATTTCTTTCTTCTTTGTAGTCATTTACCAAGTTTAGCCAGCAAATTAAAAGAATCAGCTGTACATTCAGCACCTTCAGAAATGATCTGCCTAGCCAAAGACTTCTGCATGACAAAGACGAGATTTGTGACTGTTTCAGCATTGTGCTGGTAATGTAGGAATTGCTTGCATTTTCTTATCAGCTATAGAAGGATACAAGTTTATATGAAAGCTTTCAGATCTTACAGTATTCAAGTATTCAGAGATGAATTTATTAAAAGAGCTCCATAATTTACCACGAATAAAGAGAAATCTGGTGATTTCAAGTCATTTTGGCTGCATTGCATTTGGATGCATAAACATCTTTTAATTGACTTTAGAAAGGACAGAGCCTCATTCACTGGTGTTTTGTATTTCTTGCAATCGGGAAGCCCAGTCTGACAGTGCTAGGACTAGAGCCCTCGGTATCCAGGGTCAGTGGTAAAATGGGACAGTTCCTTTGTTTCAGCTTCTATTCCCAAGTGGTCTCCTGTGCAATGGCAGGTTGAACCCTGGCCCAGAAAACCTTATTAATGCCCACTGTGTATATACCACTGTCTTCCCCAAAAAAGCTAAAAATAAATGTATGTCTAAATCTGTAGACACACTTCCTTTCAATACTCTTTGTGGAACTAGGTTGAATTCATTTTGAGGGCTGTGAGAACGTCAGGAAGGATCTAAGAATGATCTAAGAATGCCTTTGAAGAACTTCTAGTGCCTAGAAATCTATGAAGACTGCTTTTACAAGTGTGATTTTGGGTCAACATATTCTCCCCATCCATCTCACTCCTCATCATCCTGTGGATATAAAAGCTTATGGCATGACAGGCAGCTTGCTGTCTATAGGTGGCTATTTGTTATTTATGGTTATTATGGTCTGTATTTTCCGATCTGTTACGTATGTGGTGATGTAAGACTTCTATTTTAAAGACAATATTTATTTATCACACCAGAAGTGGCCAATGTCTGGAAGGTTATATCGGTAAAGTAAACATGAAGCACTACTGAACAAAGTATAACCTAAATGGTCTGTTTGCATTCAGTAATGAGTTTTTAATCTTATTTCCCCATGCTATTACAAACAGTAAGGGGAAAAAACAGTATGGAATCCATAGGAAAAATAGAAATCCATAGGAAAACACATGCACGGAGTCCTTTTTTTCCTGTTTATAGCCTCACAAGTTTATTAGGGGTGAAAGCAAAGGTGAAAAGGACAGGAAGGAAAGGAGGGCTTTGTGGTGTATAGGCTGCACATTTTATAATAAAGGTCCTTGACCTGCCTGCTCAGAGAAGGGGACAAGGAAGCTGTTTGAAGGCCTGAAGCAGTTGCCAAGAGAGATGGATAGTCAGCACCCTGGAACCCCATAAAGCCTATGTTCCCAGGCAGCTCTGCTCTCTTGGGATGCAGCCAACAGATAAGGGGACATATTCCACTTTCAATTCCCTTATTATTATGGCCCTGGAGGTGAGGGTAAATGAGAACGGGAAAAGCCAAACGAAGTGTAGAAAGAAAGGTAATGAGAGGTTAGCCATCTCAAATGGGGTGGGAAATCAGACTTCATTTCTGAGTCCTCCGTAAAGTTAGTGCAAGCTATCTGAGAAAGAGCCCTCCTCTCAGAAGGCACGTGAGAGCTACAAGCCATGCTGACCCTACTGGGCAGCCCAAAGATTAAAACACTCCTGTGACTAGATCAGGAGGATACACTGTATGTATCTACTCTATTGCCCTTCACAGCACCAGCCTGAGAAATTTATCCAGTGATTTTTGCGCTGTCCATGGTAAAACTTTTTGAACACTATCTGATATCATTTAAACACCCATTTGACAACAAATCTGTCATTTTTCCCGTTCAATTCCTCTCTTCCAAGAATATCTTCATATGTCCATCTACTCTTTCCCTTTTTGATAAAATATCTGCATTTAAGTACATGATTATCAGGTCTCATTATTTGTGATTCTTCCCTGAATCCCCTCCAGGCATCTATATCCTTTAGAATCATAGAATCATAGAATATCCTGAGTTGGAAGGGACCCTTAAGGATCATCAAGTCCAACTCTTGACACCGCACAGGTCTACCCAAAAGTTCAGACCATGTGACTAAGCGCACAGTCCAATCTCTTCTTAAATTCAGACAGGCTCGGTGCAGTGACCACTTCCCTGGGGAGCCTGTTCCAGTGTTTCCACATGATCCTAGAGGAAGCCTCAGCAGTTCTGTGTGCACAACTATAGGAATATGTCCATCTTGCATTT